CTGGGATGGGCAATACCTCCTGGCACCAGCCGTGTGCTCACCGTGCGGGTTCTCATGGTCCATCATGTACAGGTCGTCCTCATCCGCTTCCACATCTCCCAGCAGGTAGTCCGCAGGGACGTCGCTGCCCTCCGTCTCCTCATTGTCTGTGTGCCCAGGGAGAGAGAAACCAGCTCACCCACCTCGGGCACGTGGTTGGATCCACGTCCCCTGTGTCCACGCTGTGTCCGAGCCAGATGGCTCAGCCCCCCACCGCAGTGGCGTTCCTGGCACCTGCAGCCACCACTGTGGAGGACACGGGGGTAAAGCATCCTTCTACAACACCCCGGGGCTCTGCGTGCTTCACCCAGGGGCTGCAACACATCCAAACACCCCAATTTATGGGATAAATTTACCTGTTTATCCCATATCAGGGCCAAGGAGGGAGGAGCTGTAGGACTGGGACTGCACCTGCCCCAGAAACCTTACCCTCGTTGTTGATCAGGGTGGAGGAGGAATCCATGAGGATGTTTTCCGTGCGGCTTTCTCCTTTGCTGCGGTCCAGTCTTGACTCGCTGCCCAGCCCAGAGGGGATGTCCTTCAGGTTAAAACTGGCAAAGAAGCCAAATTTAACAGTCACAGAAGCTTACAGCCTCCGTTCCAGCCAGCAAACAGCCTGGATATGGGTGTCCAGCTGTGATCCGAACAACGCAAGATGTGGCGATGTCCCCAAGTACACAGACGACAGCCGCCTCCACTTTGTAACTTAAAAACACCTTGCAATTAACACAGCCCTTTCTCCAAACCTGATGCCTCTGTGTATGCACTGCAAAGGTGCCCACAAAAGTCTCCCTAAAGGATTTCAGAGCTGGGTGCAGGCTCTTGATTCCATCTCTTAATATTTACCTTCGCCTCAGAGGTAGGTGAACAGGAGCCGCCTTGCTACAAGGTGCTTTGCTCTTTCTTACCGCTCTCCGGCTTCCCCGAGAGGGAAAAGGAAGGGAATGGGGTTGAAGCAGAGCAGAGCTGTTCAGCTTGCTGCCTGCGGTGTTCAAGGCAGCAACGGACAGTGACCCGTCTGGCTACAGAGCTTGGTCAAGGAGAGCATTTCCCTTGATGTTATTCAAAGATTTGCCACTCAGCTCAGGAACCTGGCCCTGCAGTGACTGACAGCTAAATTTGGAGTCCTCACCCCTCACTTTTATATGTCATTGAGAAGAGGAAAAACAAGTTTTCCTGCTTCATCAGCCCACGATGGGGCTCTCCCTGCCAGTGAGACACTCCACTCAAAGAGCCGGGCTGTTCTCTCCCTTTGAAAGGCAGAAGACAACCCCTCCACACCAGCAGTTCTGGCTCCAGGCAGCTGCCACCCTGTGACTCCAGCCCAGCCCAGGAGCCATCTCTGCTCTCCTGCTCACGGAGCCACCCCAGCCATCGCGTTGCTCACGGCGGCTCTGGCATCCCTTACCTGTTCATGAGTGGGAGGGCCGTGCTGCCTTTCCCCATGCTGTGGTTGAGGTTGGCAGACGACACGGTGCCGAGACTGGAATAGATAATTCGCAGCATCGTCCACGTTTGAGCCACCTGCGTGAGACACAGCCCTGGTCAGACCCCGCCGGGCTAAAACCAGGGCCTGTGCAGCCACGTGCCCGACTGCAAACTCCCATCGTCGGCTGATCTAGAGAGCTGGGCAGGGTCTCAAGGGGAACAAGTTTCTGGGCCACGATCTGCACTTGTTATAGGCAACAGGGCTACAGGTTTGGTGCCAGGCAGAGGTACACCTTCTGGGGACAGCCAGAGGCCACAGCCAGGCAGAGAGTTACCACCCAGCTCTGGTGGCAAGCCTCATCCCGACAGCAGTTTTCAACCTCAGCACCAGCCTAGGTCTGCAGCGAGGGTCTCCCACCTATGTCTCACCTGGTTGCGGTCCAAGCCCTTGGCCACCTTGGCGTTGTGGTCGCAGAGCTCGGCCAGGGGCCTGCCGGCCAGCGCATACTGCTTGGCGGTGTGCACAAACCAGTCCATGCTGCCGCTCTCCACGTCCGTCTCGAAGACGCTGAGGGTGCTGGATGAGGAGATGTACTCAAACTGCTCTGTGGGGTCCAGCTTGCGCTTGAAGAAGATGGGGTGACGCCGGTCGCCGATGTAGGGCTTGCGGTTGGAGTCAGAGGAGATGAGGCTCTCCTTGGCAGCAAAGGCCAGGTCTCCGTAGAGGCTGTAGCACAGCCCCTCAGGGTTGGCCCGGTCAATGGGCTGGCTGGCGTCCTTGAAGATGTGCTGGTAGAGGGTGCTGTCCTTGGAGCCCGACAGGAGGAAATAGGGGTCGTGGAGGTGACGCCACACGATGCCTGTGGTGACATCCTTGTGCTCCTCAAACATGGCGGAGGGGATGAAGGGACGCCGCACGTCCCAGACGTAGATGTTGTGGTCCACCATCATGGAGCAGGTGGCAATGTGGTGCTTGCACTCCGGGCGCCACTTCACCCGGGCCACAGAGGCGATGGTCTGCACGCAGTAAATCTCCTTCGCCCGCGTGGTGTTCATGTCCCACACCTTCACCATCTTATCCCGGCCACCTGTTGCCAGCCAGCCCCTGGGAGGAGGATGGAGAAAGACGGTGAGACACCAGCTTGGGCCAGGATCTGTGCCCAATCACTTCTTCCCTGCCCCAGCACAGGAACACTCACAACGCAGACACAACCACGTCCACGCCAAGGGGAGGCAGCTGGGCTGCAATTGCATCCTCTCACACACTACCCTAACTCCTCCGCGCTCCAATAACCAGGTCAGGCAACACCCCTCCTTCCCATGCCCATTTAAGGCCCTGCGTCTTTAGAGCCATGCACATCTGAAGGGCTCCCAGCCAGACCAGTTCCCCCCACCTCTGGTTTCCACCCACCAGGGACAGCAGAGAGGAAAAAGGCCAGTTTGAACCTATTCCAGTGCCTCTCTAAGCTCACACTGCTCTCTAAGCAGTGCTGCCTGGCAGGGAGCAAGGAGGGACCTGCACACCACAACAGCAGCTTCCAGACACACCCCAACCGCCCCTGGGGAAAGGCAGGAGGGAAGCGTGGTCCAACGCCAGCAAGCTGCATCCCAGAGCAGCCATGCTGCACCCTCCCCGCCCTGAGCACTGGAACGAGAGGCAGCCCTGATACAAGGGGCAAGACAGGAGTTTGCTATACCCCACCATGAGCAATCCAGCACCTCAGGATCCCCTGATTGGCCAAAACCCAAAACCAAACCACCCCAAGACACCCTCCCAAATCAACGTAGTAATTGCTCCCATCCTCCAGCAATGGCCCAGTCCCTGACACAAGGGGCCACAGGATCAGTGTCCCTGCTTTTCCCCCACCAAAAGGTCCCAATCCCATTCTCAGGCGCTCTCTCGTCTCTGCTGAGGCCGGGCAGCCGGCAGGGTCCAGCCCCACACCCACCTGTCCTCTGGGTGCCAGTCGCAGCAGAAGACAGGCCCGTTGTGGGCCGTGAACATCCTCTCGTAGCGGTCTGGCCGGCGGATGTCCCACAGCTGCACATTCCCGTTCTCAAAGGTGGCGGCGAAGGTGAAGTAGTCCCGGATGCTGAACTGGACGTCACGCACGCTCTCCGACTGGCCTGAGCAGGGACAGAAGTTGAGATCTGGTGGGACAGAGCTCCGGCAAAGCTAAAAGCCTCACTGGAAGAGCCACGGGGATCAGCAGCCCAGAAAAAGGGGAGGCAGGGAGCGATGCAGCCACCTTCGACCTCCTGTGCAGACCCAGCTGGCCATCAAATGGCAAAAAAAAAGCAGCAAAACACCTCTCAGCTCCCTCCCTGCCTGCTCCAGACATCGTGCCCTGAGCAACCCCTCCTGCCAGGCATGGGGAAAGGGTAAAACCCCCAACCTCTGCCTCTCACCAGGGGTGGTGGGGGGTTGGGGGGGGCAAGCAACAACCCGCATTCGTACCAGAGAAGGTGCTGACAGAGTCCTTCTTGCGCAGGTCGAAGCATTTCATGTAGCCGTCCTGGGAGCCGCTGAGGAGCATGTAGACCTCGGTGGGGTGGAAGCAAACCTTGTTGACGGTGCGCTTGTGCTCAGTGAAGAGCTGGTCCTGCTTGTTGCGGGATGGCTTGCCCAGGTTCCAGGTGACGACCACACCGTTGGTGGCGGCGGTGGCCAGCAGGTTCTCGTCCATCTGATGCCAAACCACATCCGCGCAGCTGAAGTTCAAGGAGGGTTTGCGGCCGACACGGAGGTTCAGCTTCTCTACAAACTGGTCCTCCTCAATGGAGTAGATCTTGAAGATGTTGCGGCCAGCCACCACCACCTGGGCGGCATCGCGGCACACGCTGATGGCATTGGCGGGGGCATCCAGGTGGCAGAACATGGTCCGTCCCGTGAGGGCGTTGCCCCCCAGGGCGGTGGTGGCCCAGGCCATTTTCTCCATGGCCGTCCTTGGGGCACACTCCCCTCTCCAGGAGTAGGCTCCTGGCAGGCCCAGGTGGCTTTGACCGCAGCTTTTTGTGGCCACATCAACGGGCCGTGGAGGTGAGAGGCTACAGCCCGGTTGCTACCTTCGGGGAGAGAGATACAGCCCCACGCCAGGCTTTTCCTCCTGCTGCTGCCCTCTGTAACTCCCTCTCAGGGAGTTCTTGAAAACCTTTCCTGGGTTTCTTGTTCCCTCCTCTGTTCAACCCCCCAGGATGCCCTGCCAATGAGAGTGGCTGGTGGTGACGCTACAGGAGGTCGACTACAGCGATGTGGACTGCGGTGAGCAACATCTCCAGCAAGAGGTTGGGTGAAACGAGGCTGCAGTCATCTCCATGGGGCACTCCCTGCACCCCAAACCCCTGCAAGCACCACAGGCAGGGGTTCGCTCTGCTCCTCTAGCAGAGGGGCAGCTCTTCCCATCCCTGTCCCAGGTCAGGGTGCCAGGGCCTGGCAGCTACCCTGGGGCCAGCAAGGCTGCCTGCTGGTTTCAGGGCCTCTGGGAGCACCCGCAGACTGGCTCCCCCATGAGCCAGGCCCTCCTGCTCCTACACCCTTCCCTCGCCAGGACCCCAGCTCCCCTCACACCCCACATTCCTCCCCCCCTCAGGGACTGCTCCTGACCCACAGACCCCTCAGGGCCCCCTCCTGCTCCTCAGGTCTCCCTCAGGTCCTCCAGGGCCCCCTGCCAGCCCTCAGGGCCCCTCCCCGCCCACCCCATAGCCCCCTCAGGCCCTGTCCTACACCTCAGGTCCTCCCAAGGCCCCCTGCCACCCCTTAGGTCCCTTTCAAGTCCTCCTAGGGCCCCCTGCCACCCCTCAGGGCCCCCCTCCTGCTCCTCAGAGCCTCCTCAGAGCGCCCTCAGGTCCTCCCAAGGCCCCCTGCCACCCCTCAGAGCCCCCTCAGGTCCTCCCAGGCCCCCCTGTCCCCCCTCAGAGCCCCCTCAGGTCCTCCCAGGGCCCCCTGCCACCCCTCAGAGCCCCCTCAGGTCCTCCCAGGGCCCCCTGCCACCCCTCAGAGCCCCATCAGGTCCTCCCAGGGCCCCCTGCCACCCCTCAGGTC